GCGTGGGAACGGCTCCACCTCCCCTTTCCACTCGGCACCCGTCCATCGGGAAGAATGTTGCTGGTTCGATTCCCTACCACAACAGTTCACTGTAGCTTTCGTGCTATCTTTTTGTTTTCACTACATATGCTTAAATCACTGACATTCCAGATCACTCCAATTATCTGATATTGTAACACTGTAACACAAGCGATCAAAATATAATTTATTTATCAACATTTTTAGGTTGTACGTAGATATATTATGCTATTATAAGTTACAGATTGCTGAAAAAATGGTGATGATTAATCACATACATTGATCGCTTGTGTCACAGCGTCATAATATGAGATATGGTGTGTCGGCGATTTGATATTGTAATGAAAACAAAAAGCTAATACTAAAAAGAATACACTGAAGTGTTGTGATAGGGTATTGAACCAGCAATCTTCCTCTCGATGCATGGGTGCGGAGTGGCAGAGAGGAGGTTGAGCAGATTTCACGCTGGGGGTGAGATCCCTTTCTAGTTAAACATCCCCAGTTGGATCCTCGGAAGTCAAACGCTCAAAAGGTTTTGAAAAAATTAAACACTGACTTTATACACTTCAGCCTTAAGTGTTTGTACATACGTACATAATACATACAAGTTTATGCATGTACACATGGATAAATATACACGCACACATATATGTGCATATACGTATAAATACGCGTGTACACACTAACATGTGTGAATGTACATATACACACATGTGAACATATAGTATATATATGTGTATATATACATACGTATACATATGCGTATATATATACATGTATATATGTATATATATACATATACATATACATTGAAAGCATCTCTTTTGGCAGGAACGAATATGGTAATAGTCGCAATAGTACCAGTTCGATGACTGACCCTGACTTCACCTTCTTCAGTCTGAAGCTACATTGTGTTTCAATACTTGGAAAATTTGGGAATCATCGCTGTCGGTTAATACCGCTTAGGTGACCCCAAAGGATCAAACGGAGGCGCCATGTTCTGCAGCCGTTCATCCTGTCCATCCTGGATTTAGAACGTTTATCCAAAACACCCGAAGAGTTCTGAGTGTTGATGCTTTCAACTCTTGGCAATTACTCCAGAATCATTGTCGTTGTGCTTTTATGCCCTGTGTATACCTATAAGTGTACTTTCTCAAATTTCAAACCACCATCTAAATGCTCCTTTATGCGGACACAAAGTGATCTAGCAGTTTCACTTATGTGTTCGTGGGAACAGCAAAACAGATGGGTCGGCCATAAGGTAAGAAGATCTGACGAGAGATGGACGAAACGAACTGTACAATGGATTTCACGAGAATACACCCGTCCCTCAGATCGGCCACTTACCTATCTACACGTTGGGCAGACGTGTTTATTAGAAATCAATCACCTGTACTATTCGCACCTGCCGATTCAAACCCCCACCATGAACGACAATCGCGAGAAAAGGAGAATGGAAAGTGGAAATTACAATGGAAATCGTGGTGGGACTCGCACTATTCGTGAAGACGGACCATTCAAGTGTCCAAATGTGTTTATCCCCTCATACCTTATATGGGATTAAGTATACTGTGCGCAAACTCATACAAATCCTTTTTTTAGAGCAAGTTATACAACTTTCTCAGTTACACAAACGATCTCAGGAGCTGTGGACTAGTGAACGACGCAGAGTTTCAGGTGGTAGTACAATAACTGTCACATTATCCCTAAGAGAAATGAGTAGTGAGCAAAGATACGACCTTTGATAGGAGTAGAACCCGTCTTTCATCCACAGCGGAGACGCGTGTTACAACTACGCCACCGAGGAACATTTGCACACCACTCATTCCTAAACATCTCTATGATAGCCGTCAGCCACCAACCTCTGACAGGCTTGGTCGGGTATGCGATTTCGCTTCTCAAGCACTACGAAAAATGCAGTAAATATACTAGAAATTCGAATATTAATTATTACATATCTTCCGTTTCGAGTATTTTCTTAAGACCACAGCTCAAATTTCAATATGCCTGACAATCATTATTTGAGCCACGCATGTCAGTGGTCTGTCAATGAGCGCTGACTTATAGAGCATGATGCACGTGTTTCGATCTTGCGATCTCGTCAGTCGGGCAGTTACCCTTTCTCGTCTTTTGCTAATCTTTGTGGGTGCTCCAGTCCCCACAATAAGAGTTAGCGACGACGTACAATTTACACTCTATGTCCAGTGAAAAACTCACGAAACACAGAGTGTTGTACACTCGAATGCCGTGCGTCGTCGCTAACTCTTATTGTGGGGACTGGAGCACCCACAGAGATTAGCAAAAGACGAGAAAGGTTAACTGCCCGACTAACGAGATCGCAAGATTGAAACACGCGTATCGGGCTCTATAAGTCAGCCCTCATTGACAGACCACTGACATGCGTGGCTCAAATAATGATCATCAGGCATATCAATTATTACGATGGCTGTCACCTCAACTGGGATTATAAAGCGAAATCGCATACACGACCAAACGTATTAAGGGCTGGTGGTTGACAGCTAACATAGAGATGTTGAAGAATGAGTGGTGGCGCGAATGCACCTTGGTGGTATGGTGGTAGCACGCGTCGCGGTACGGATGAAACGCGGGTTTGATTCCCTACTGAGGTAGTATTTTTGCTCACCATTCAATTCTCTTAAGGATATATGGAACATTATAACACTGCGAAAAATCGGTAAAAATACTAGAAATTTCGAACTGTCACAGAACTTTTGAGACAATATTTGAGAAGCCTCTCATGAGTGCTACCAACTTCTTTTCGATGTAAGGACAGACTGGAAAGGATCTTATCAAAGAGCATTTAATGCTTTGAAGTCGTATTCAACCCTTTCAGCTTATCAAAAACATGTACCAAACTGCTAGAAACATGTGCGTAAGAAACGAAAAGAGAAAAGAGTCGCCGAACTTGGCACGAAAAATAGCCATATTGAGCGACTACACCTATGGCCATGGAGACAGTACACCGTCCCAATGGAGTCAGATGAATTAGTAGGGTCACGTCCCAAAACAAAAACAAAACAAAAACCTCGCACGTTGATAAGGTCGCTTTCAGGCCGCTTTTCAGATCAAATAACGCTAGCTGGGCTATTCAGATGCCACCCAAAAAGAAGTGGTCCTGAAAGTTCGGTGACGGTACTTGGACTTCTACCAACACCCTGCGCCGTCAAATAGCGCGCAATCGCCTTTACGATTGACTGCGCCACTCAGAAGACCGTATAATCTGACCTAACGAAAGGGAGGGGAATTGTATGAGAACATGAAGGGTATGTAGAGATGTATATATTGGTGAAACGAATGGACTACTTCATTTTCGCGTAAAAACAAGTAGATGGAAAATCAATAATCAATCAAAGCACTCCATATCGTCTGCAATGCAAAAAATCTCTTAATATAGCAACACAGCGAAGAAAACGTTTTTTCGAAAACCGACAATCTGGAGCTGTAGCCTGGAGCTGGAGTTTAGCTTTAAAACGGTTGCTAACACTGCTATGATAAGTTTTTCTCCAGCGAAGAATGAGTTCGATTTTTCAATCGTCCATCCTATCACAAGAGTAAAAAACATCAACGCGAAGACTCTCGAAGCGTCTTTGATAAAAAAAAACCTCAAAAAATGAACAGCAAGGACGAAGGTGTCACTGCAACACGAGACTTGGCACCTTACGTGCGCCTAATCTTCTAACCTGATTCAGCGGGAGGTGATGCATAGGCATCGATTTCGTCACCGACTCAAACGAATACAATGTACGTCCAGGACGTGTGGAAGGAGGTGTCGTCGAAACTACCCACGATTTGTACTGCGATGTATACCAACTCAACATTGACGTTAATATTAACGTCAACAACAGCTCAATATTGCTCAAACAATCGGTAATTTGTACATATATTATTGACTTTGAATCCGAGGTTAGTGAAACGTCGATCATTCAAATACAATAGACGCCTAGAATCTAAAGAAGGAGGGGTCCTCCAAACGTTAGCCATCATAGCACCACTACTACGACTGCTACTACAACAACTATTACTAACCTTGCGTCAGTCAAAGTTTTTGAGATTTACAGAACTCACTCTTACGGCTTGTGAAAAATCGTCAGGCTTTTCGTAGTGAATCGGAGGAAAATCGGATTGATCGTAAGATCTGAAAGAAATTAGAAAGGATAGGGTCGAGATCGAACACACAAGCACAATCATTGCGAACCCAGATTGTCCTATCTCGCTTGTTGCTAGTTTTGCCTTACGGAAACTGGCTGGCAAAGGTAATAGGAGCGCCGACCCAATTAGCAACATAATTAACTGCGTTCGAGGGCATCGACAAAGAGATAACCACAACAAAGATACTAACAAAAACAGTTCGCATTTCTGAGAACTATCCAAATCGCGATAATCTTCAGAAAACTCCTCGAAGATGGTTTGATCTCTCGCAATATGCGAATGAACGCCAAAATAATCAATTTTTCGATGAAGAAGAGAAAAAAATATAGATACAAAACATAGAAGGAGTATGCCTGATAATCATTTTTTGAGCCACGCATGTCAGTGGTCTATCAAAGAATGCTGTTATAGAGCCCGATACATGTGCCTCTCTATAAGTCAGCCCTCTTTAATAGACCACTGCCATGCGTGGCTCAGAAATTGATTACCAGGCATATTGAAAATTTGAGCTGTGGCCTTAAGAAAACACTCGTAGCAAAAGATGTAGAAAGAGCATTTGGCTGATATGAGATGAACGTGATGGTGCGCAAAATTTGAACAATGGGAAAGTCCCGCGCACTTCGCTTAAAGGGACCACCTTCATGGATTATCGCTGAAGCGCAGTTTCTTTCAACTGGTTATTACTGACTATCGAATTGACAATGTAGGACAAGCCGATGCATACATGAGCGCACTTCATCTCACGGTGAATAATTTCCAGTAACTTAGAAACTTTAATGCTAGCGCGAGAATTGGGTGACGAGCAAAAGCGCGACCTCAGTCGGGAGTCGAACCCGCGTTTCATCCGTGTCAGGGAGGGGTGCTACCACTACATCACCGAGGCACATTTGCGCCACCACTCATTCTTCAAAATCTTTATGATAGCTGTCAGCTGCAAGTCCTTTAACAAGTTTGGTTAAGTATACAACGCTCTATAGACTTTTTTCTCTTCTTTAATCTTCGAATATCTTCAACATACCCAATAAGGTGGAGTGCTGTGCAGAAACATTTGCGCCAGTCGGGATTAGAACCCAGATCTCACTCTTTCCGGGAGCTATGCTAACCGTTGCACCACCGAAGCTCGTTATGCACAGCACTTTTTTTCTTTACGCTGCAACGAGTTATCTGTCAACAGCCAACCGTAGACGGTCTGGCGGGGCAGCCGCTGTCGGCATTGAACCCACTTGTGCTGACAGATATTGGGTGTCAATAACCAATCGGATTTCAATCATTTAACGGCTTGTTTAGGTGTTATGATTTTGTAGCATACCCAACAATGTGGAGTGCTGTGCAGAAACGAGCGTTGGTGGTGCAACGGTCATATGCTCCAGGAAAGAGTGTGATTTGGGTTCGAGTCCTAGCTGACGCAAATGTTTTTTCACAGCACTCCAATATACTGGGTATACCACAAGATCATACCACTGAAACAAGCGGTTAAATAAATGAATTCCGATATGTTCAATATAAATCTTCAATATGGTAAGAAATTCAAAATACTTCAAGATCTCACCACCGCTGTTGGCGGTCACTTGAAAAACATCCAAACAGACTATATTTCAGAATAGAATAGGATAGAATATGAAATCCATCTTGGTGGTTCAGTGGTAGCACGCGTCCCCGATATGGATGAAAAGCGGGTTTGACTCCCTTCTGAGGCCATGTTTTTACTCGCCACTCAGTTCTCTTAGGTATGTGTAAAACACTAGAACACTGCGAAAATTGCAGAAAAAACACTAGAGATTTTTAGTATTACCTATCAAAATGGCTGTTAGCTCAAATGGGTTTATAAAGCAAAATCGCATACCCGACCAAACCTCTTAAAAGTTGGTGGCTGACAGCTAACATAGATTTCTTGAAGACTGAAAGAATGAGTGGAAGCAATGTGCCTCGGTGGTGTAGTGGTAGCGCGTGTCCCCGGTATGGTTGAAACGTGGGTTGGACTCCCATCTGAGGTCGTATTTTTTCTCACCACTCAGTTCGCTTAGATTATACATATATATATATATTTATTTATTTATTTAATTCCAAAAAAAGAATGATTTAAGCTCAAAAAAGGGGGTTGGTAAGCCCAGGGTCATACACCGGTGTTTCGGAGGTTCGTCCTCCTCATCAGTGACCCCCGCCCCACATTCAGCCCTGCATTGAAGCAAGGAGGGTGGCGTATGTGGTGATGGCACAGTGTACTGTGACACTGTACCATCGCCACCTCTCAGTGGATAGATTTTTGCTGTTAGATCAAAACTATATCAAAAGATCGACTGTTTTTGAAACCCCCAAAAACATTCAATATAATTCCAAAAAAAAGAATGATTTAAGCTCAAAAGCTTTTAAGCTTTTTTTTGGAATTATATTGAATGTTTTTTGGGGGTTTCAAAAACAGTCGATCTTTTGATATAGTTTTGATCTAACAGCAAAAATCTATCGACTGAGAGGTGGTGATGGTACAGTGTCATAGTACACTGTGCCATCACCACATACGCCACCCTCCTTGCTTCAATGCAGGGCTGAATGTGGGGCGGGGGTCACTGATGAGGAGGACGAACCTCCGAAACACCGGTGTATGACCCTGGGCTTACCAACCCCTTTTTTGAGCTTAAATCATTCTTTTTTTTGGAATTATATTGAATGTGTGTCCTAAAGCAGTGGTCGCGCCGATCTCCTCACACTCTTGGTATCTCGGACAAACTCGAGCCAAAGCTTTCTTTGGGTCATTCGTTGCTTTGCGCCGAGCATCACTAACCACCGACCACCCCACACCCATACATCATTATTAATCAGTTAAAATTCTCTGATCGAAATGAACAACAAATTCAACAGCTGTCCTACTTTGATTACCCTACCGTCCACTCGCTCGATGGAGCAGGATTTTAACTGCTTACTACACATACACACTACGAGCAATTTATGAACTTACTATGCACACACTACGAGCAATGAACGAACTTGCTCAGATCAAAAATTAACTGAAATATGACCTGTTACAATCAGATTATGTGTTTTTCCTATCCAGGAGCTCGTGCTCTAAGCCGCTGGAACGAGTTAGACCACGTGCCCTCGAATAGGGTGAAGCGCAGGTAGGAGTCCAAACTGACCCAAAAGTTTTGTGCATCACTCTTCATATTAACATCATACCACCGTTGGAAATGGTTGATGGAAAGAATATGTCCTTCTATGCCTGCCTGGAGCTACACTGTATTTCATGACTTGGAAAATTTTGTGAATTATGGGTGCCCCTTAATAGCGCTTAGGTGACCTCACAGGATACTTGGAAGATTTTGTGAATTATGGGTGCCCCTTAAAGTGCTTAGGTGACCTCATAGAATCAAACGGAGCCGCCATGTTACGCGTGCTTGTGCCGCAGTCGTCCAAGATGTTCATCCTGGATTTACAACGTTCATACAAAACGCCTGAAGAGTTTTGAGCGTTGATGCTTTCAACTCTTGGGCGAAGACCGTGGCAGTTAGTCCAAATTTATTATCGTTGTGCTTCTATGCCTTGTGTATACCTATAAGTGTACTTTCTAGATTTTAAACCAATATGTAAATGCTCTTTCATGCGACACATAGTGACCCAGCACTTTCACCGATTTGCTCATGGAAACGGCGAAATAGAGACGCGCCGGTCATAAGGTAAGAAGATCAGACGAGAGATGGACGAAACGAAGTGTACAGTGGATTTTCACCAGAATACACCCGTCCTTCAGATTAGTCACGTACCTATCTACATGTTGGGCAGACGTGTTTATTAGAAAAATTAATCAGCTTTACTATTTGCACCTGCCAATATTCACAGGTCACGCTCTGAAAACTCCCGCCAGCCGTCATGCACGAATCAAACCGCCACCACGGACGACAATCGCGAGAGAAAGAGATTAGAAAGTGGAAATTACAATGGAAATCGTGCTGGGGTCCGCACTATTTGTGAAGACGGACCATCCAAATGTTCAAATGTGTCTATCCCCTCATACCTTACATGACTAACTATACGGTGCGCAAACACAAATCCTCTTTTTTTTTGAAGAGCAAGTTACACAATTCTCTCAGTTACACAAACAAGTATAGAAGAAGCTGTGGACTAGATAACGACGCAGAGTTTCAGGTGGTAGTACAATAACTGTCACAGATATCCCTAAGAGAATTGAGTGGGTGGGAAAAAACCGCCCTCAGATGGGAGTTGAACCCGCGTTTCATGTACACCGGGACGCGTGCTACCACTACACCAGCGAGGCACATTTGCACCACCACTCATTCTTCAACATCTCTATAATTCGATTCTTTTTATTTAACCGCCTCTAGCGGTGGTATGATGTTACAAATATACATCCAATGATGTAGATTGATGTGCAAAACTTTCGCGTCAGGAGAGACTAGAACCCGCACCTCACTCTTTTTGGTAGTGCATGCTCTATCCGTTACACTACTGACGCCCATTTTGCACATCGCTCACATGCTGATGCGCTGTAACGTAGAAAGAGCGACGTGCAAACTGGGCGTCAGTAGTGAAACGGATAGAGCACGCATTCCCGGGAAGAGTGAGGTGCTGGTTCTAGTCCCGTCTGACGCGAAAGGATTTTCACATCACTGTACATCAGTGGGTGTATATCTCTATGAAAATTCTCAGCCACTAACCCATGACAGGCTTGGTCGATTATGCGAATTCGCTTTATAAACACTGCGAAAAATGCAGTAAAAATATTAGAAATTTCGAACTGTCACAGAACTTTTGAGACCTTCTTTTTTGAGACGCCTCTCATGAGCGCTACAAATTTGTTTTCGATGTAAGGACAGACTGAAAAAGATCTTATCAATGAGCAATTAATGCTTTGAAATCGTATTCAAAACTTTCAGCTTAGCAAAAACAGGTGCCAAACTGCTAGAAATCGTGCATAAGAGACGAAAAGAGAAAAGAATCGCTGAACTTGGTAGCAAAAATAGCCATATTGAGCGAATACGACTACGGCTATGCCATGGCCACATTACATCGGCTCACTGGAGTCAGTTGAATTAGTAGGGTCACGTCCCAAAACAAAAACAAAACAAAACTTCACACGTTAATAAGGTCGTTTTCAGGCTGTCTTTCAAATTAAATAAAGTTAGCTACGCTATTCAGATGCACCTAAAAGGAAGTGGTCCTGGAAGTTCGGTGACAGTACTAGAACTTCCACCCACACTCTCCGCTGTCAGCTGGTGCGCAGTTGCCTTTACGATCGACTGCGCCACTCAGAAGACCGTAGAATCTGCCCTAAGAGAAAAGGGTGAAATGTAAGAGTTCTGATACAGTACATATAATAACATGTAGGGTATGCAGAGATGTATCTCTTGGTGAAACGAATAGACTACTTGATCTTTGCTCAAAAAAGATGTAGAAAGGGAAATCAAATTTCGATCAAAGCACTCCATGCCGTCTGCAATGCAAGAAATCTCTTGATCTAGCAACATAGCGAAAAAATCGCTTTTCGAAAATCGGCGATGTGGGAGTGTAGCCTGAAGCTCAGCTTTTAAACGGTTGCTAACACTGCTATGACAAGTTCTTCTCCAGCGAATGAGTTCGATTTTTCAATCGTCCATCCTATCACAGAGGTGAAAAACATTAACGCGCACTCCTCTCAAAGCGTCTTGGATAAACACAAAAAAACCCCAAAAATGAACCGTAAGGAAGAAAGTGTCACTGCGACACAAGACTTGGCACCTTACGTGCGGCTAATCTTCTATCTTGATTCAGAGGGAGGTAATGCCTAGGCATCGATTTCCTCACCGACTTAGACGAATACAATGTACGTCCAGGGTGTGAAAAAGGAAGTATCGTCGAAATTACCCACGATTTGTACAGCGATGTTTACCAACTCAACATTGACATCAATATGAACGTCAACAACAGCTCAAGTCTGCTCAAACAACTTGTAATCGATACTCATATTATTGACTTTAAAGCCGAGGTTACTAAAACGTGGATCTCTCAAATACAATCGACGCCCAGAATATGAAGAAGGCGGGGTCCTCCAAACGTTGGCCATCATAACACCACTACTACGACTGCTACTACAACAACTATTACCAACCTTGCGTCAGTCAAAGTCTTTGAGATTTAGAGAACTCACTCTTCGGCTCGTGAAAAATCGTCAGGATTCTCGGAGTGATTCGCAGGAAGATCGAAATAATTCGCGAGATCTGAAAGAAGTAGGAGAGGATATCGTCGAGGTCGAACACAGAAACACAATCATTTCGAACCCGAATTATCCTATCTCGCTTGTTGCCAGTTTCACCTTACAGAAACTGGCTGCCAAAGGCAATAGCAATTCCGACCCGATTAGCAACATAAGAACTGCATCCAAAGGCATCGACAAAGAGATAATGAAAACAAAGATACTGGCAAAAACAGTTCGCATTCCTGAGAACTATCCAAATCGCGATAATCTTCAGAAAACTCCTCGAAAATGGTTTGATCTCTCGTAATATGCGAATGAACGCCAAAATAATCAACTTTTCGATGAAGAAGAGAAAAAAATATAGATACAAAACATAGAAGGAATATGTCTGATAATCATTTTTTGAGCCACGCATGTCAGTGGTCTTTTTAAGAGCCCGATACATGTTTCTCTCTAGAGTCAGCCCTCTTTAACAGACCACTGCCATGCGTGGCTCAAAAATTGAACACCAGGCATATTGAAAATTTGAGCTGTGGTCTTAAAAAAACACTCGAAACGAAAGATATAGAAAGAATACTTGGCTGATATGAGATGAATGTGATGGTGCGCAAGTTTGAACAGTGGGAAAGTCCCGCGCACTTCGCTTGAAGGGGCGATCTTCATAGATTATCGCTGGAGCGCAGTTTCTTTCAACTGGTTATTACTGACTATCGAATTGACATTGTAGGACAAGCCGATGCATACATGAACGCACTTAACCTCACGGTGAACAATCACCAGTGTCTTGCACACTTTTTTCATGCTAGAGCG